GTTCGAACAACAGTTCGTTATTTTTTTTCGAGTTTAAGCTTTTTGAGGAGCATAGTATGCGTTACAGTCAGTTGTATGTTGAGGATGTTACTTCAAATAATAGCCCACTCAAATGGTGGCGTCACCGGTGGGTTAAGATCATTGGCATATCTTTCATCGTTTTAATAATTCTTCTGATCACTCTCGCTCTGGTTTTAAAATTCTATATTTTTACACCGAAGAAGTTAGAAACCACTATCGCTACTACTTCCAGCACAGCAACGACGACCACTACTCAACAGTCAGGTAAATTTTGAAGTAACATTTCTTAACCTCCCTAAATGCTACTGTTAAATCAGATATATTTCGTTGCTTTGCATTCAATAATCTGACTATCTGACTAAAAATTTTATAAAAATGGCCAGTCGTTTAATCATGAGTGATTTACTCTTTAACATAAGAAAAAATGAATAAATGGTAATGCTCATATTTGATGATTTTTCGTCACTATCGAGGCTTATTTCGTTTTTCAAAGTGAGATAGGATCTAGTAAATCTTTAAAATTCTATAACATTTCTACAGAATCTTAAAGAGTTCTCAAGACTCAGCATCGTTGAATTGAGATTCTATAGAGATGCTTCAAGATCTACCGTATCTCAATTAAGATAATCTTAAAATCCGGTGTCCTAAATCCACCGAAAAAATATTTTTTGACTAGTTCATTCATAGATTTGGCTACTAACATCGAAGAGCACTACTATTTAGTTTCAGCAAGTGAATACACATTCACCATCGATTGATAAGAAATTACTAAATAATTAAGTAATTGATTGATTACTTAGGAGAACTTCGAGAATACATGCAGGATGAATTTTTATTGAAAAAAATGATGTTTCTTATTCCCGCATATTAGTAATTTTCTCCTAATTCTGCCATTTTTACGTAAAATAGTATTTAATTGAAGAAAAAAAGATGATCTGAAGATGAAGAAAAGCTTAATCTTGCTATAAAAAAAAACTTTATTCCATTAGTCCCATCGCGAAGCATTGATTGATATGTTTTTCAGAAAAATTTAACTTTCTCTTCTATTTCTTTTTGGTTAGAAACGAAAAGAGTAACCAGTAGAGTTTTTTCCTCCTCTAAAGTACAGCATTTCAGAACGTCTTAACGCACTAGTAACCTGAAACATGTAGAGACTTCTTTAAAGACTTATCGAATTCGTGTTTGAAACCAAAAGCAATCGTCTTTTATGGTATTGGTTTGCTGTACTCATTCGATGACGTCTAAGCGTGCATTAGACACAGCTTCAAGTTCTTGAATAACGTACTTGAGATAAGTTTGACTACGATTTTTATAGACCAAAGATAGGGAACCAACCACAAAGTGATACATACTAACTAAATTTCTTTTCTTACTTACACATGAGTTTTTATTGGAAAACAAAATATCTATTCGTATTCACCTAGCTTCTGCGATGATACGAAATGGAAGGAGTTTTCTTTTCCTCACCTGCCAATTATATCTAAGATACATGACGCAATTTCACAAAATCGATTACATTTGTTAACATAATCATTTTGGATCTCATTTTTTCACGAAAGAAAAGAATGAGTTTAATTTAGACAGATAGATATTTGTGAATTTTTTCACTATCAGCGGCAGGCAAGATACAGGAGTATGTTCCAAGTCTCGAGATGAACTGCTTGGTCCGACTTGGTAGAATCAGATTTCTCTTCCATTGCCGAATGGGCCGATTCAAAAAACTGCTGGGCCACGTTGGTCGATTATTTTGCCGGGTTGACTCTGTCCGATGTTTTTGTCATTTTTTTCACTTTTTATCACGCTTTATAACTGTCTCGAGTAATAAAAATTACTGAAAAAGTTGTATGGTAGAAAAACGGTATAGATTTCAATCAAAGAAATATAATAAACCATATTAATTGATTAAACTGATCGTATTTCTCGGCCCAACATAGTGTTCTATAAGAACAAATGTGTCGAAAAAAGATATTGATGATAGTAGGAACTTAAAAAAACCACTTTATTTAGCTATTTAACTTTGATTAGTGAGTAAACCCATTGGAAATATGCCACTTCCTGAAAACAGAGCAATCCCATGTAAATATACAACAGTGACCACGACCGATCTAGTCGGTAATCTTTCTGCCGGTTCCCGTTCCACTGGTAACCGTTCCTGATGGGTATAAGCAATTTTTTCTTGATCTCGACCATCTAGTAAGAGAGCACATGGTCCAAAAACGTCTTCACGGAAATTAAAAATGTTGATACCGAGAGTCTGGAGATCTAACGAATTCTTCTATATGTATAAGTCGAGTTGCTCCTAAAGAATGAGCTGGATTTGCATACGTTTGGTATCAAACCTTTTTCTTACCCCAAACAAAATATTTTCAACACCATCCTGTCTTACTGGATGGTTAAAATCGAAAAAAGACTTTCACCCAGAAATATGGTACACTTCAATCTGACAGAATCAAATTCATTTTAGCGCTGGTTACTTGTGCGCAAGAGCTTTGATGATTACCGAAGTAATCTCCGAATTCTATTTGGAAAAAAATCATTGTAAAGGAAATATCCTTCGGACTCCGGTCAGGCTGATCTAAAGTTGAATCGGGTCGAGCGGGCTTAAACAGCATCTGGACTTCAAACAATGATAACTTTGATTTTTTGCTTTATTGTAGTCGATTCGTAACGGATTAAAGTCAAACGATTTTAATCTATCATACAAATATTTGCATTGATTCTTTACACATGTGAAACGGAATGGATCAGTAAAGAAATCGTGCCTCATTGATAGAATAACCTTGTGTTAGCGTCAACAGATGACACTATGTCGACGCTAACTTAATTGAACGAAGTTCAATTGGTACCTTCTTCATATTTTCTCATTTGTCAGTCTCCCTTTTCGTTCTGTAGTTAATTGGATTTTTCTCTTTCGTTCATTCAATAGTAAGATTTTTCTTTTTCGTTCTGTCTATCAGAGATGCACGGGGCATCGATTTTTCAAGCCCCACGGGGCCCGCCCCGTGAAATTCACAAACCCGTCCCGCCCGAACCCCGTGTATAAGTTTTATGAAAATCCCCGCCCCGCCTGTGCCCCGAAAAATCCATACCCGCTCCGCCCGTACCCCGCACAGGCAGCTTCTTGGACCGGCCCGCCCGACTCGTCATTTTTGCGACGGGCCCCGCCCCGCCCCCGTGTAACCCGAAGAAATTTTTTATTTACTAAATACTTTTTAATCATACATTCCTTTGATAAACAGATATCTCATCACCATTCTAGCTAAGAGGCTGTTGGATATTTTTTTAAAAACTTTCATCCTCAACAACGCTGGTAGGACAGATACTTTGAAATATCAATACCCTTTCCCTTCGCAAACTTATATACTTGACTCAGGCTAAATTCGATTGTCGCAAAATTAACCATACATAGATGAGATCCTTCATGCTTAAACTTGCACAAAGTATTAAATAAAAATTTTTCGAAGTTGAGAAGAAAATAAAATTTTACTATTGGAACTTTAGACACATTCGAATTACTTCATTTCCGGTGCTGTTCATATAATCTTAAATTGAGCTATAAAATTTTATAACGAAGTCAGGCTAAACTTGCATGAATTACTGGAGAAATCGCTGCTCCATTGTACTGCATACTAATGGAAAAGATAGATATAGCTAAAGGATTAAAATTAACTGGACCAAGGCAAATAATTGAAAACGTATCCGAAACATTTGTTAAACACTCATGAAATTTGCAGTCAATTTGAAAATTAAAATGATAAAAGATACTCTATCAAACTATTTCAAAACAAAATATATTTATTTGTCCAATATGTTATAATTACTCGAAGAAAACATGTTGAAATTTGGCAAAAACTTTTTTGCCTGCTTCACGAAACTTACTCATTTTTTGACCGACACGTAAGACAGATAAAAGAAAAACTACCATTGGATGAAGTAATCAATGCTCTATCTGATCATATAATAATAAAAAAGTTCCTGATGTTTTGTAGAAATACAATAACCTGAAGAAAATTGGTGAAAATTAGTGAATTATCTTGTATAGTTTCCCTGTATTTTGAAAAGTTTTTGTTTCGCGAATTACTTCGTTTCTTTAACGTTTCGATTTGCTGGCTTCTTTTCTTCAGTTCAGTTTTGAATTTGCAATAGAACTTCATTAATTATTGAGTGACTTCAACAATGAAAGATAATAAATGATATAGTTTTGTGCCTATTACTTCGGAATCGCGAGTTCCTATTCGAATGAATTGTACTCTTTCGAGTCAATCACTTTAATTCTGTTTCAAGAAGCTATCGTCTTCAGCGTTATGTTCTACTAAAACAATAAAGAATGTTTATTCATTCTACAATGATTTCATCGTTAAGAAATCTGAATTTGGATAAGAAAAAGAAGTTTTTACTGCGCAGTGTTTCTTAATAAATATAAAATAAGTTTTAGTCCAGTTATTCACTTAGTATAAATTAGTAGTGGAAACTGTGCATGACGGAGGAGAAAGAAAGAAAGACACAAATAACAGACAAGCTTGCACCTAATAGAATCAAATCAATAAACCAATTGATATGTACTTTGTACTATGCATATCTGTAGTAATAACATCTCTTCATAAACTTTGACGGTTCTTTATCACATCCGAAAAAAAATGTTTACCCGCCCGAACCCGTGTATTTCATACTCGCCCCGCCCGAGACCCGTATCATTTTAAAAATTTGCTCCCCGCCCCGCCCGCCCGTGGGCTGGCAAATACCCGCGCCCCGTTAACCCCGTATTTAATTAAAATTTGCTTCCCCGCCCGCCCGTCGCCACGTGGCCCCGCGGGGCCCGCGGGGTGAACCCCGTGGACCGTGCATCTCTGCTGTCTATCTCTCTCTTTAGCATTTTCTCAGATTTTGATATAGTTCAGTTGTTATTTTGTTTTGGTAAAGAGCAGTAGCTTTCACTACCACTTCACTTGTGTGTTTCTCGTCTTCATGAAATAAATCGTCCATTTGAACTGATCTCACATCCCCTCCTGAATTGATCACGTTTGTTCTTGAATGTAAGGTAAGACCCCCTATATCCTATTATTAAATCACCCATGAACTGTTGACCTAACAATTGGTGGAGAAGTTGGGCACGTTTTTGTAATCAAGGTCAACAAAAAACCATTCTCTCCTCTTCTCATTTCCTTTTCTCTCCTCCTCCTTTGCTCTTATATAAATACTTAGGGTTATCCAAAAGTAGTGGCGGAGACCTTTTTTTTTTCTTATTTATAAGTGAAAAAAATTTTCTCTTTTTACCAATCGATAGAGCGAAAGATGCTCTATTTTTCTATGCTATTTGATCAATATTCAACTAAGAACATTATAATAGAATCTGGGCAAAACCTTTTTTCGTTGAACTCTAGCTGGTTGTAATAGTGCATAAAATCATCTACACGTGTTTTTTTT